GTCCATTACGCGTTGAAAGGTGGAAGGGGCGTTCTTCAATCCAAATGGCATACGAACGAATTCATAATGCCCATTTTCCACAGAAAATGCGGTTTTCTGGATATCTTTGGGATCAATCTCAATTTGGTGGAATCCGGAAGCCAAATCGAGGGTGGTGAAATATTGGCACTTGCCTAATTGGTCGAGAAGATCGGAGATGTTCGGAAGTGGGTACTTGTCGTCGATAGTCACTTCATTCAGTTTTCGGTAGTCGATGACTACTCGCCACTTCTGTTTACCAGAAGCATCAAGCTTCTTTGGTACGACCCAAACGGGGGAAGACCATGGTGAAACTGAAGGCTGAATGATACCTTGATTGAGCATTTTCGATATTTGTGTCTTCACCTCTTCTTTATGTACTTGAGGGTACCGATAAGATTTGGTAAATGTAGGTCTACTGTCTTTTGTATCGATAGGGTGTTTAATTTCGTTTGTGAACGTCAGGTTGTCACCTTCAAGATAGAAAATGTCCGAGAAATCTAAACAAAGTTCTGTTATGAGATTTTGTTCTTCTTCGTTGAGATGATCGAGACGTAGTTGATTTTTAATTTCGAATTGTCGGTCAATTGGTACATCTGTATCTGATATTTGCATAGCCAAGTTATTTACTGAGAAATCCTGAAATGGTTCTAACACAAGATCGGAAAAATCCACTGTTTTTGGAATAGCATTAACGTTCAAAACTGAAGTTAGAAATTCTCCATTTTCGTCAATTTTGACAATTGAATTTGGTATTTTGACTTTTTCGATTTCCTGACCTATCAGTATAGCGTCGGTATTTAAAAAGTTGCATTTCAACTTGAACACTTGTTCGGTTCGAGGTTCAATATTTATTTTATTATGATATTTTCTAGAGGGTGGTGTATCAACTGAAGGTTGAGTTTTTTCGTCGTCGGTTACTTTAAAAAGAGGGATAGTTTTGAAGTCAGTAATCAGTTTTTTATTTTTGAGGTCTACTATGCAATTATAATGTTCTAGAAAATCAGAGCCAAGGAGTCCGTCAAATTCTATATCTAAGTTGTGAATATAAATTTTATGTGGGTCTTCAGGTTTGAATGGAATTAAAGTTGATTCGTTAATAATTATTTTCTGGTCGGTTATGCCTTGAATGGAAATATTTTCTGGAGAACGTTTTCGGTATTTTTCGCAAGTCTTTGGTTTAAAAATCGAAAGTCCTGCACCAGTATCTATTAGAATTTTGAAGGTATTAGTGATGTCTTTGATATAGTATAAGTTTTTCGAATTAACAGGCAATAGAGGTTTTAAATGAACCGTTGTTCCGGGAAATTCACATTCGGATCGAAACTGTCTAGGTTCATTGTTTGGATTTGGGCTTGAAGTTCGTCCATAGTATTCTGTTGTGGTTTGTTCGGTGGGTCGCCAGGATTCAGCCCTGACTGAAAATCCTGAATATCCGAATTTTGGGGTAGATTGTCATAGTCCGGGTACTGTGTCGAAAATTGATCATATTCAAATTGTCTTTCAGCGGTATGATAATCAAATTGTTGGATTCTGCTATCAGCAGTATGATAGACTTGATCGAAATTTTGATTTTCACTAGCTGTATAGTGATCATCTTGATAAAAATCATTCTCATAATATTGGTCATATTGTTGATAATTCAAATGGTGTGTCTGTTGATTATTTGGTCTGTTAAAATTTGGATTCGATTGAATGGTAGGTTGTCTTTGATTGTTGAAGTTCGGGTTAGGTCTTATGATTGATGGTCGGTTTTGTTGAAATTGATTGGGTGGTTGATATTGATTGAATTGAGGAGGTCGCTGTACTGGATTTGGGGTTTGGAATGGTCTTGAGGGTCCAGCTTGATTGAAATTTTGTTGGTTTGGTCTTGGAGGGTATTGTGGTCTATTTTGGGAATTCTGTTTTGCGCGGCATTCATGAATCAAATGTCCGGTACGTCCACAATATGAACATTGTTTTATTTGTTGAGATGAAATCGGTTTTCGAACAGAAACTGCATTCGGATTTCGATAGCTTTGTGAGTGAGGCAATTTTTGATTTTCGAAATAACTCAACTGCATTTCTCGTCTGATACGAGTAATTGCGGTTAACATATCGGTTGGGGTGCCTGCTCGAATTATTTGACCAAGTTTTGGATCTAATCCAGTCAACAGGGTGTTCAAACTCATAGTTTCTATAAGCCTGGACTGCGCGCCTCTTTGGTCTGGTGGCAAAATTTGTTTATTTACAGCGGCGTGCATTTTGGCATTATGCGTTTGCAATCGTTGAACGAATGTCATTGCATTTTCGCCAGGAAGTTGACGAAGTCTTTGGAGATCTTGAATTAATGAAGTCAAGTCTCTGGAATCGCCAAAGTGGGTATCTAAAAGATGTCTAACTTCTTCCCAAGTAAGTGGGTTTCTCGAATTCACTAGCTCTGCAGCACGTCCACGTAATTTATTTTTTATGTGAAGTGTTACTAGTAGTCGTTGTTCGTCGACTGCCATTCTGTAAGCGGTATTACAGGCTTGTAAAAAGGTGGTTAAAAATATTGGATTGCCATCATATTCCGGTATGATGGAAAATATTTCATTGAGTCTGTATGGCTCAATTTCTGCAGGTGGTCGTGGTGGTGCCACGTTTACGTTATCGTCATTCATTGCAATTGGTTTTTGTTGAAATGTGACAAAAAGGGGAAACAATTGGATAATGGAACAGTTACTTGGTTGTTTCAAATTTGAAATGCGGTACGATTCAATATAGTACTTACAGGATCAGTATCATTGAGTTCGTCGTGTTCTCGTCGATTCTGCCAGGGGCTTCACCAGGTGTTCCTTCCACAGCTCTTCGAGTGATGACTCCCTCGGGTTGGTTCTTTGATTTCGGCAAAGGATTGGGATCCACCGTCACTAGTTAGGTCGTTTCCGTGTTCTAGCAACGTCACGAAATCCTACCGACTGCGCCAATTTGTTATCTCGTGGTTTTCGAAATAGACTTTTTAAAAACAATTTTATTTATTCCGGCATAGATTAAGTTTATACAATGAGCTTTATTTCAAGACTGACTTTTTGGTACAATATAAAATGAATTTATATTAAAAATAATGCTGATGCCAGCGTCAGCAGATATTATATTCCATTTCTGCGGATGCTGACTTCAAGGTCAAGATCATGTTCTGAGGAATTGTTATCGCTGGTAAGTTGATACTACTGAGAACAATGGGAACTGATTTTAGCATATAACATAAATAAATATTAAGATATAATCCTATAATGAATAATACCAAAGATGTACCTTTTGGTAATCAAAATTATGATGTTTATTAAATCGTCATGGTTAAGACATCTGCAATTACATCACTATGATAACGACTTAAGATGTAGGTATAACATGTGAGTAGCCTACATACATTTTGCAACCATTGTAAATCAGAGAATCTTTGATAAGATTTGTTGTCGGACGTGGTTATTGATATGATTATTGACTATACATACTGTTTCTAGAATTCTAGAATGAAAATATCTACAGGAGTTAGAATTTTGTGTTTACGAAAGAGGGGTTTAAAGGGTTCACGGAATTTGGATTTAGTCATGCATCTAATGGCGCGCTTTTGTAATATAACAATAGACTGCAAATGGTTATTGTTTACTGCCCAGAAGGCAATACCATATCTTAGGTGTGACTCTATCAATGAGTGATATACCATCTTGGCCGTAGATATACCTAATTCGTTTGAAACTATGCGGACAGCGGTAACAACCCGAAGCTAACTTGCTCTTTAGGTGGCTCCGAGCCATCAAATCGTCCAATTCGTAACAAGAAACCGCCGAGGTATTTGAAGGAATTCGTCAGGTCGTAGAACTCCTAGAGGGGAAGAATGATGTAATATTCTCAGCTAGAATACTCTGTATTACTATTTATGTTATTGTCATTATTCCATCGACGTCTACTTGAAGTATGGCTTTTGATAAACAACGAGGCGATGTAGCGAAGATCGTTGTGAGAATAGTCGCAGATATTTGTTTGCTCGAACTGCCTGTTGACTTCTTCGGATAGTTCCGAGACTTACACACCTTCGTATATTGTCCTTTCTTACCGCAATCATAAAAGGGGAAAATTCTGGCTGGACAAACATTACGAGGATGTCTGTCAAGTCCACAAAAGAAGCATTTAGATGTGATAGTAAATGAAGTTGTGGGTGGATTCAGATCCTGGTATGATTGACACTCGGCATTATCATTTCCAATAGCTGCATTGGTGAATCCACATGACACATACGATTCAGAATGATGTTGAGCCATTTCCAACGCTCTTGCTTTATCGAATGCATTTTGCAAATCGAGAGTATTATTTTCCAGCAAACGTTGCCTAATATGAGATGAAGTGAGGCCGCTGATGAAGGAATCTCTGATGAACTCATCTCTGTTATCATCAGCAGACACAGATTTGAAGTTGCAATCTTTGCTCATTTGCTTGAGTATTTGCAAATATTGATCAATAGACTCTCCTGCCTGTTGTCTTCTAGTTGCAAGTGAATGCCTGGCGAAAATGACATTTCTTGGCTTTACATACAGTTTCTTGACAGTTTCAATCGCATCGTCGTATGTTGTACTATCACTTTTATATCCATAGATAGTTGGACTTATGTAATTTATCAGGAGATTCAATTTATCAATGTCTTCTGTAGCATTTGCGGCTCTGATGAAATTACTGAAGGAACGTATCCAATGGAGCAACGATACTTGCACTGGGTTCTACTTCTAATCTTTCGGGTTTGAGGAGTTGTTTATCCATTATAAAAGTCGATTAAATTGTAAGGAAAACCTTTTGAGAATGATGAGGCTTTAATCGACTTTTATCAACTTGACAATGACAATAACATGAATAGTAATACAGAGTATTCTAGCTGAGAATATTACATCAATTTGACTATCAAACTTGAGTTCAGTGTCAATTTGCAATTCGGGCTCGTACCCGTAGAAAAAATATTCCACACTCACTTGTATATTCCTTTCAGTCTGAGTATCCAGAGCACTGGTGGCCTCGTCCAGCAATATAATATTGGGTGCCTTCAGGAGGGTTCTGGCTATCGCCACCCTTTGTTTCTCACCGCCGCTCAAACGCAAACCTCGTTCGCCGACTTGGGTGTCGTATCCCTCCGGAAAAGTAAGGATTTTCGCGTGTATATCGGCCCCTCCGGCTGCGTCTATCACTTCCGAATCGTCGGCCGTCAAACGGCCATATTTTATATTGTATCTGGAATAGGCAAGTGAACTAATTGTTTTTATTTCTTAAATATAATCATCACTTGAATATCTTTCAATTTCACATTTTTTTAGAATAATTCGGTCGATTTGAAGGTGCTAAAATCATCAATAATGCCACGGTAATTTTCAAACGGCTAAAAAATTAATCGTGAGTAAAAACTGATTAGGGGCAGACCATAGCACAGTTGCCATATATTGAAATACGATTGGGAACTTTAGGAATATTAGTTATTCAAAAATTTATTAATTCTCAATTATGTATTGGAAATATTCCCAAAAACAATTGTCTCAAAATCTTAAACTCGATCAAATTGCTTTGAGGTAACACCAAGCAATTTGATCTCGTTGATTTCTGACAGAATTACTATCGATAGTATTGCGAGCTCTCATGGTATTACCCCCGATAGTACGATAAAACATAAATTACATACTGTTGATTTTGTCAATTTTATCATATTCAATATCCGTAAACTCCACTGCTCTGAGAATATATTTGCACTTTCAGTATTTATCATAATATAAATAGTACAAAATATAATAAAACCTAGGATTCTTCGATGATAATGAAAAAACTACCGTCATTATTTAGAAAAATAAAGGTGACAGATCACTCATGAGACACATGAAAAGTATCATATGACTTACTTGATCATGTTAATGAAAAATACTGTATCTTATGGCACTACTCCGATATATCTACCGTCATTATTCAGACAAATTAAGATGAAACATCACTCATGAGACACATGAAAAGATTCGTATGACTTACTTGATCGTGTTATTGAACAATACTGTATCTTGTGGCACTACTCCAATAGATCTCCTCAATGATTCTTGAGTAATTGTTTTAATGTTTTGTCCATCAATCACAATTGATCCAGTTTCAACATCGTAAAACCTGAACAAAAGTCTGATTATAGTACTTTTACCACTACCGGAAGGACCTACCTAAAAAAATATACTTTATCAGTGATGCATGTGTTGATGCCCTCTTCCAGATCAATGGGAATACAAAACACCGGTTAAAAGTACAGACATTGTATAACATTCCGAAAAACAACCTCTTAGCACAAAACTTTTTTTTTAGTTACACCCTCTAACGCTTACAAATACAATGATGTATTGCACATTACATACTTTTGTATCGTTGCTAGTACGAAAGAGAAGAAGAATACATCGTCGCTATGAAATCAAACCGGCGTATCTGCAGAACTACTATTTCTCACCAGAGCTCTTCAAATATTTTCTACTCGATTATTTCTGTATATTTACTTGATCTTTCATCTAAGAGCTATCTTTTTTGTGCATAAAATTGAGTTCGGTTTTGCTTGTAGCTGCATCGGTGGCAAATAACTAGAAAATTTTCTGGGAACAGATAAATATGCAGATATGTTGGTATATTACTTCAAAGTTTATAATATAGCTATAATTTGCAAAAGCGTCTGAAGTATCTGCCAATAAGCCACGCCCGAGGCTACGCCTGTGCAGATTAGAGAGAGTAGTATTGGGAGATAAATCGATTTTATTTACAAGCTGCAGAAGTATTCACCACGACATCTCATGCTGGACTGACGCATTGGCAATACACCTGTTAACTGCTTATAAACATACTGAATTACGCCAAAATTCATACCGGCACAACGGTACCTGACTGATCACAAGGATACGCCGGTTTGACTCACTCAAAGAGGTGAAAAAAATGATTTTTTTGATACCAATAACTCAAAAATCCTTTTTTCTACAAACGCTTAACAAAGTAGCCTTCGACGCTTTCAAATTCCAGCACAAAATTGACGTTTTCCCAGAAATGTCATTCTTTGACAGCATTTGCGCTCGTGAGCGGAAATATTGAAAAAACGTTCGCACATCTCTGTAACCTATACTTACCTATTCTTGAAAACCCCCAATTCTTTCATGATGGAAAATAGTGACAGTGAATCATCAAACACACCTCCTGATATAGAAGAAAGCGCAAGAGTTTGAATCTCTTACCGGAGAAATCAAGGAAGAAATATGAATTACAATATGATACATTCATAAATTGGTGCCACTCCGAGATGGTGAATATGTATTCAGAAATCGTTTAACTGGCTTATTTTGGTAAAAAATCAGAGACTTTGAAGTCATCAACTCATTCAATGCCCCGTATATTGGGATTTTTTGAGTTTTGTCATAAGTTGTCAATAAATATTTTTTGGGAACACGTCAACTTTTGATTTGGAACCGAAAGGTTTAAAAAATACTGTTAGATTCCATCTAGAGGTGTCATCATTTGGAATCTAACAACTGGTCCTTCGAGAAGAGAGCAGAAATGGAGCGCGGTATTCGAAAAAGTGACCGAGTGAACCGTGGAATACCACCAAAGAGATATGGAGAAAGCAGTCTAGATGGTCATCAACAGCGACGAACAGGAATAAAGGCGATGACTACTGGACGAAATTCGAACGAGGATTCCTCCAGAGAAACGATAAAAGAGATACAGAATTCTGAAAAACTATTCGAAACCAGGAATGAAAGTTCCTCAAAACGTCAGAGTCATGTATCAGCATCTCACAAAAGCAGATCTTCGAGAAAATATGAAGATTTAGAAGCAAGAGAAAGAGAACTCAAAGAACAATTGATTGATTTGCAAATAAAAAAGCTCAGTATAGAAAAAGAATCTCTGAGACAATCAGTCAAAAACAAAAGTATCAACTCAGAGAAGTCGAGCTATTTTAGTGGAGAATATAGTATGGATAAACACTCTTTCATAAGAAATTGGGTGTCCAATGTTGAAGAAAACAGGGAGTCTTATGAAATTCAGGAAAAACCAGAATATAAAAATGAAGATTTCAATGAAAAAGAAGACGGAAATGAAAATGGACATAAGAAAAGAATGTCGTCCTTGGAATCTATCAAAGAAGCAGAAAGTGCCGAGAAAGAAAATGTTACTCTTGTTGATTGCATGAAACAATTGAATTCAAATTTAGCAAAGTTGGCGAATCGACAGTCAGGTAACCAACTTCAAAGTTTCAATGGTGATGTTAATGAATTTCCTTTCTGGTTGGAAGAATTTCGCCGTACTACGGCTGAAAAGAGACTATCAAATTCAGAAAATATGAGTCGCCTTCAATATTGTCTCAAAGGACGAGCACGAGATATTGTGAGAGATCTTTTTTGCAGTCCTGAAAACGTCGACTCTATAATTGATACATTAACTTGGAATTTCGGTAGAAGTGATTGGATCATCATCAATCAAATTGAAAAATCCAGACGTTGTGCCAATCCTCGGGAGGATTCGTTAGATACATTCTTACAGTTCTCCATAACTATTTCCAATATGGTAATTTCCATGGTAAATACTGGAAATAGTAAATATCTGGAGAATCCTGAATTACTCATGAAACTTGAAGAAAAATTACCGAGAAATTCTAGAAGAGCATGGGCGCTGCGAAAAATGGACTCAGAGTTATCAAAATATGGAGTAAACCTGAAACATTTCTCAGATTGGCTGAAGTCGGAAGTAAATCTGTTAATGTCTGTATCCACTTCATCCCAAATACAATCATACCAGAGTAAACAAATTTCTGGAAGGACAGAAAAAGTTATGAATATAGTTCATAAAAAGTCAGAAGTATGTATCTTATGCAATTTAGAAGAACATAAACTATTCAACTGTAAAATGTTTCTTGAGAAGTCGGTCAGCGAAAGAGTAAAATATGTTCAAGAAAAAAATCTTTGTTTCAAATGTTTAAATCCTGGTCACATCGTGAAGAAATGTTTTTCTAAAACGTTTTGTAACATTGACAAATGCAGAAGGAAACATAATCGTCTTTTACACGAGAAACGAGAACTTACAGAAAGAAACTCTGTAGATGACAATAATTTGGAGGAGCTAGCAAATGAAAAAGAAAATTCTGAATTCGTTGGTCACGTGGGCGATAGATCATCAGCTATCCTGAAAATCATTAAGGTGAAAATATTCGCAGATACAGAGTCTTTTGAAACCTATGCTCTATTGGACGAGGGGTCTACAGTCACTTTGATTGATGGAGATGTGGCCAGAAAACTGAAGTTGCAGGGTCCAGTTGTTCCTGTCTGTTTACAATGGACTAATCAAATCTCCCACAACGATGAGAATTCGATGATGGTCAATTTCGAGATTTCTGGGCATGAAGAAAAAACCAAGTATAAAATAAATAGAGCGAGAGTAATCAAAAATTTATCACTACCTAAACAAAACATTGATTCTGACCACCTATGTGATAGATATCAATACTTAGATAGAAATATTTTGAAATCGGTAGAGCATGTTGTGCCAAAAATATTAATTGGTCAGGACAATGTGCATGTCATGACTACACGAGAAATAATTCATCCTAAATATGACCAACCTGCTTTCAGCAAAACAAATCTAGGATGGGTCGTCCATGGCCCTTATATCGCTAGTGAAATTAGACTGAATGTTAATCTGTGCCATCATGATGAGGATTATCTTACAAAAATGATCGAGGATAATTTTAGAATCGAAAATACGGACCCTCTTAACAGCCCTATGATGTCCAGAGAAGACAAAAAAGCCGTTCACTTTTTTGAGAAAACTATTCACAGAGTTGGGAAAACTGGTGAGAGATTCGAGATAGGATTGCCATGGAAAGAAGAAGATATTATTTTGCCAGAAAGTAGATCATGTGCCTTCAAGAGACTAATGTGTATGGAGAAGAAAATGGACCAGGATGCAAGGTTTGCAGAACAATATTGTGAAAAAATTCAGGAATATGTAGATAAGGGATTTGCTAGGAAGTTATCCGTCAAAGAGATACAAGAAGATAATGGAAAAATTTGGTATCTTCCTCATTTTGGGGTAAGGAATATAAACAAACCTGGGAAACTTCGCTTTGTATTCGATGCTGCCGCGAAAAGCCATGGTATGAGTCTAAACGACTATTTACTCAAAGGTCCTGACTTTTATCCATCTCTGTTGGCTATACTCTTGAGATTCAGAGAAAAGAAATACGCATTCTGTGGTGATATCAAAGAGATGTTTCACCAGGTTGTTATCCGAAAAGAAGATAGGAGTTGCCAAAGGTTTTTATTTCGAGGAATGGAGAGAGTTCAAGATCCCGAAGTGTACCAGATGGAAGTAATGATTTTTGGAGCGGTATGTTCGCCCTCTATAGCACAATTCGTCAAAAATCACAATGCCAATCAGTTCAAAGAAGAATTTCCGCACATAATGGACATCATGTTGAAACAGCACTGGGTGGACGATTATTTGGACTGCAGAGATACCATACCAGAAGCCGTAAAAACAATCGAAGATGTAATCGAAGTTCATAAAAGAGGTGGTTTTCAAATGGTCAATTGGTTGTCCAACTCAGTCAAAATTTAAGTCGGTCAGCGAAAGAGTAAAATATGTTCAAGAAAAAAATCTTTGTTTCAAATAGTTCAAGATCCCGAAGTGTACCAGATGGAAGTAATGATTTTTGGAGCGGTATGTTCGCCCTCTATAGCACAATTCGTCAAAAATCACAATGCCAATCAGTTCAAAGAAGAATTTCCGCACATAATGGACATCATGTTGAAACAGCACTGGGTCGACGATTATTTGGACTGCAGAGATACCATACCAGAAGCCGTAAAAACAATCGAAGATGTAATCGAAGTTCATAAAAGAGGTGGTTTTCAAATGGTCAATTGGTTGTCCAACTCAGCCGAAATTTTAAAAATGATTTCATCTAACTATTTGGCCAAAACCTGCATCTTAAATTTTGACTCAAATAATCATGAACGAGTACTTGGACTGGTTTGGAATACTGGAAAAGACATATACTGATATTCGAAAATACCTTCAAGAAAATCCCAGAAGAATTGTTACATGCTGAAAGAGTGCCTACCAAGCGAGAAATTTTGAAGTTGGTGATGACAATTTTTGATCCAATCGGATTTTTGTCTCCCTTAGTACTGAAGGGTAGACTTATCTTTCAAGAATGCTGGTCGAAAAAGATGGAATGGGATGAAAAAATACCGGAGGATCTCTTCATCAAATGGCAGCAGTGGTGCGATTCACTTAAGATTTTGAATAACTTGATGATTAATCGACAATATTTCCATAATTGTCCAGAAGAAGTGCAATTACATATTTTTTGTGATGCTAGCAACAAAGCGTTTTCTGCAATTGCCTACTTCAGAGCTGAGAAAGATGACCAGATAGAAATTGCAATGATTTCGTCAAAATGTAAGCTGGGACCCTTGAGTAAAATAACTTCGATACCCAGAATGGAGTTGAATGGAGCTGTAATAGCAGCAAGATTAGGATATCAAATTGAGAAAGAAACGACTTATAAAATAATCAAGAAGGTGCATTGGTCAGATTCTGAAATTGTTTTGAAATGGATCAGATCAGAATCTACCAGACTGAAAACCTATGAAGCACATAGAATCGAAGAAATTACACAATTGACTGATGTTTCTGACTGGCGGTGGGTACCATCCAAAATGAACCCAGCCGATTTAGCCACTAAAGAAGGGACTGAACTAAATTTCTCTCCAGGGTCAGTATGGTTTCAAGGACCATCCTACTTGGAAAATTCTGAATCAGAATGGCCTAAGGAGACGAGCATATCAAATTTGAATGATCAAGAATTTGTATGCATAATAATGGAGATGACGTTTTCATTGCCTAACATAGATCGATTCTCCAAATGGATTCGGCTAATAAGAACAACAGCATGGATGTTACGATTTATAGAAAATGTCAGAGCCAAGGACAAACACAAAACTGCTTTGAGGCCAGAAGAAATAGCAAGTGCTGAAGTATTATGGTTGAAGAAAGTTCAGAATGCACATTTTAGTATGGAAATAGATTTTTTACAGAAAGGAGAATCACTAAGCAAGAGTTCCAAATTATTCGAATTGTCACCCTTCATAGATCACGATGGAGTTTTGAGAATGGACAGTAGAATAAGGTACGCAGATGTTGCATTCGATACGAAATTTCCAATTATTCTACCTTCATCTCTAAATGAAAAATGGGTACAGTTATTGATCATCTATTATCACGAACTAGTAAATCACGTTGGACATGAAACTGTAATTAATAACTTGAGACAAAGATTTTGGATAATCAAAATGAGACAGAGTGTGAAAATGAGTATCCGAAAATGTCAATTCTGTAAAGTGAAGAAGGCAAGACCTTTACAACCAGAGATGTCACCTCTACCAGAATTTCGGGTGACGCCATTCACAAGGCCATTTAGCTACACTGGTCTCGATTATTTTGGGCCAATTCTGGTGAAGGTTAAAAGGAGTCAAGAAAAGCGATATGGGGTGCTATTCACTTGCATGAACACACGTGCTGTCCACATCGAAATTGCAAAAACGTTGTCAACAGATTCCGCTATCATGGCCCTGCAGAGGTTCATCAGTAGAAGAGGCTACCCGATTGAGATTCATTCGGACAATGGGACAAATTTTGTCGGGGCCGAAAATGAGCTGAGGAAGAGTTTAGAAGATTTGGATCAAGATCAAATAATAACTCGATTATCGAAGTTCAAAATAAAATGGAGTTTCAATTGTCCAGCAGCTCCCTTCATGGGAGGGGTATGGGAAAGGCTGGTACAATCAATAAAAAAGGTACTTTACATTATTCTGAAAGAGCAAGTGCCTTCAGAAGAATTGTTGAACACTTTGTTATTGGAGGCCGAGAGAACAGTAAATTCGCGTCCAATCAGTTATGTATCCTGCAATGAAGGCGACACAGATGCGTTAACACCTATGCATTTCCTGATAGGTACTGCTAACTCCGAAAATGTTCCGGGCGTATTCGAGGCGGGGGACATCTACGGGAGAAAACAATGGCGTATATCGCAGTATATGGCTGATCAATTCTGGCACAGGTGGATAAAGGAATATCTACCAAAGTTGCATAAAAGGAGTAAATGGTTCAAGAAGACCGAAGACATCAAGATTGGTGAAGTTATAGCTTTACCAAACGACGGAAGCAGAAATCATTGGAAACTTGCAAGGATTTCAAAAGTATTTCCAGGTCGTGATGGTCATATTCGATCAGTTGAGCTTTCCACATCTTCTGGAACTCTTGTTCGTCCAGTAAACGGATTATTACGCCTGGAGGTTGGAGAGTGTGAATGAAATAATATTAATGAGATTATCAATGCCCCGTATATTGGGATTTTTTGAGTTTTGTCATAAGTTGTCAATAAATATTTTTTGGGAACACGTCAACTTTTGATTTGGAACCGAAAGGTTTAAAAAATACTGTTAGATTCCATCTAGAGGTGTCATCATTTGGAATCTAACAGGTCTATATATTCGATGGACGTATACATGCTTGAATGTTAAAGATAATATCGGAATCAATAAGTATCTGAAACTTATCGCATTCCTCCAGAAACAATCTATTGGATATAAAGCGACAAAAATCCAAAACATTCACCACTGAAGATATAAACCAACAAATTTCTACAAGAAGCTCCCGATGAAGCATATCTGTTGAAAACGATTAATTATACTTTATATTTAAACTCTTTGTTGTCATCAGAAAGACAGTGTATCTTATATTTTATTGCATCAATGAGTAATGTTCAGATTGATCGCTTAGTTTATCGTACTATGGCTCAGAGGTCTGAAGCTCAGGTTGCCACGCTGGTGGTCCAGTTTCAATTCTTGGTAGGCCCGACATTTTTTTCTGGCTTGTCAGTTATTTCAATTTTTCTTTTTCTGTTTCCTTTAGACATATGGGATAATATGGATAAGAACTGTTTCAACTATTTCAATCATACTTTCAGGGCAGTTATTTCCAAAAGCTGCGTTAGTAGAAAAAATCTTGTGTGTATTTCGAGCACAAAGTGTAATTGCCGCTCTCCAAAGATTACCGCGCTCCGCTCCGCATCGCGCGGTAACTTTCTTTGTCGAGCGGCAATCTATCACTTTGCGCTCTAAATACACAAATAGCTATTTTTGCAGATATGACGGTTTGATTTAACAGCGACGACATTAATATTTCAGGGAGTACCTGTTCATTCATTAAACGAATACAATCATAAGGTGATATTTGTAAGTGGGGCATATTCATGTAAAATGTAACAGAATAGGAATAGGAACAAACTTAAAAGGGTTTATATCAAATATATAAACTGCTCAACAATTGATACGCAACGTTGCATAATTTCACTCTCATTCAAAACTGTATATCTTTCGAAGGACACAACCGATTTCAATTTGGTTTTCAGTTCCTGAAAGATTATTTGATTGTTCATCAAGGTATTATATTAGTTTACCAAAAATCCTTGTAACTGCGTTATCACAGGGTGATCAATGGAAGTGTACCAAATTGCTTCAATTTGTGAAGGTCTGCCGTTTGGAGGAAACATTGTTCTCAACAGTAATAATACCAAAACTCTATTGTTTAGAGAATTTTCTCGAGATGGTTTCATTATTTTTGGAAAAGCACCACTTGGTATCAAAATACGATTTTTTCCCTAAACTGTGCGGTTTTGGTGTATCAATCTGTATTATATCAAGAGTACAGGGAGATTTTCACTAAGATTTGATCATCTACAAATTGTGTAAATGTGGAGTTTACTGAGTGAGTCCGAAGTGTTTTCAGATTTTTTCGAATTTCATGTTTATGGTATATTTTTTATTAGTTTTGAGTTTTCCTCTGAAATTGTAACAATAACATTTAGATATCTTTAATTCTACTCGAAATCGCTGAAAACATGTGTTTATACTTGTGTTCAGGGTTATTCTCAAAGGCAAAGGCACTAGAAAACATTGTGAGATGATTTTTCCACACAAAGTTTGTTCACTTGGATTTGATGAAGCTTTTTTTCTGGTATACTTACAGTGTAGAAACTCGAACATATATAGGGTCTCTCCTCAAAATTATTCAACATCAATTAGTGAATTCGACGAGATTTCATTTTACTTTTTTACTTTCATGTCTTATTTATTGGGGAACTAATGGTGCCATAAAGAGAGTTAACAAATGGATGCCATTTTTGCACACTGTTATATCCATGATTAAAAACAAAACATGTAGGTATGCCATTGGTGAAGCTTTCGTTATCATTTTTATTTTAATACTACCGAGGCATATATTATTTCATTTCGAAAAAATGTTTATACAGTTGAAGAAATCAATAACTGACATAATTATGTAACTCCAAATTCAAGTCAAAGTCAATGATAGAGTAAAAATCTCCAAGCAATAGAGTTTTGGTATTATTGTTGTTGAGAAAAATTTTTTCTTCAAACGGGAGACTTCCAAAATGAGACAATTTGGCACACCCTGTGATAGCTCAGTCACAAGGATTTTTGGAAATCGAATATGATACCTCGATACCCAATGAGATAATCTTCCAGGAACTGAAAACAGAATGTGAATCGGCTGTGTCCTTAGAAAATAATACAGTTTTGAATAAGAGTGAAATTGTGCATCGTTAAGTTCCAATTGTTGAGCAGTTTATTATTACCTACCACTAGAAAACAAATTCAACCACGGTGACTTATTGGTGTCTAGTTGATCTTTAAGTAAAATATGTAAGAATTGTTGCGTTAGTTGATTTCTAATGATTTCAAATGATTGAGTTTTATCCCATTATTTTCTACGTGTACAATTAGTGAAGTTTTCACTATGGATTTCAATTAAGTAACAACCGAGTTAATAAAAAAATAGGTAGTGTTTATTCAATAATTTTTTTTATATTCTTACTCACCAAAGCGACAGTCTTTCCTGAAGGTACTGAAAACGTGACGTTTTTCAGTATCAGCCTCTCCGGTAAGTAACCGAAAGTTACGTTATTGAACTCGACTGCACCCCTTTTGACCGCCAATGGCCCAGCACCAGGAGCGTCAATGATTTCTTGTTCCTCCCTCAAGAGATCGAACATATTTTCCATGTCCACAAAGTTTTTCTGGATCGCTCTAAAACATCGAATTCTGTTTTGAAATATATCTGTGCACGAATGAGGACAATGGAGAAGTTTCATATGAATTTTCATAAAATTTGTTTATTGTTTATTGAAAAACTAGCTTCCAGTCAGAAATAAAATTCTGGTATGAGGAAGTTGATTACAAACAACAATAATAAAATAATATAAGGTGACAACAACAACAAAAAATATCTAAAAAATCTAAAAATGCTAAATCGATCAAGTCATAAAAATAGCCCCAGGGACTAATCAATAGATGGCAAAGTATAAATTTTATGCATTTCGTAAAGAAATCATGAATTTTTTTAATTCAATTTTAAATTTTGAAATATGTCTGCAATATTTTATATTATATGGTAATTTATTAAATTCAGCTAGAGCAGCGTGAGTAAATTTTTTTTGGCCAATTATAGAAGTAGCAGAATCAAGATGAAATAAGTTTGATTGTCTTGTGTGATGACCATGAATTTCTGAGTTTCTTATCAAAATAAAATTGGATTTCAGATTATTGTTTATTATATTATATGAAACTTTAAGAGAATCTATTTTATATAATTCATCCAATGAAAATTTTTCTGTTATGGCATACAGATCATTTGTTGGGATATCAAATGAGAGGCGATACAATACTTTCAGTGCTTTCTTATAAAGTTCGGAACTCCTCAGTTTCATGTCCACGCTGTATGGAATGGCGATCGATAAAGTCCAAGTCGTTTTTATTTTCAAAATAAAGCAATTTCTAATTTTCGGCGCGGCAAACTGTAACGTACATTCTGATTCTGGTCTGAAATAGCTGATGATGAAGAATATAGCTAGGCGAATGGCTAACGAATGAAAAAGGAATAAAAAAATAGAAGAAGAAGACAACTTGGCGTCAGTATTGATTATATCATGGAAAATAACGAACTAACAAAACAACTATGAACTGTAGACAGGCTAACGAATAACTGGAGGATAAAAATCGACACAAGATGGACACAAGTGAAGCCGGTAAAAAAACATACATAACCACAAAATCAGATCAGCTCTCGCGTCGTGCCTGTCGGTATTTCATGTGCCGTGGTCGGACTGAAAGTGTTAAGGTGGATTTATGCAGCAACATTTAACAATTATCAAGTAACATTTATCAATTAACAATTATCAATTAACAAGTGATGAGAATATTGACATTTATGCAAACGAAATTTACAATTAATGGATTGAATCAGGACTATCAAAGCAATAATCTTACAAATTCGTTGTTTACAATTTACATAAGGAGCTAAAATTTCGAACTTCATGTTTTCTGATCTGGAAGAGACTGGGTTACTTTTATTCACAATTATTCTGTTGATTGCAATTGTTTTATGTTAAAACAAATTTCATAACATCTGTCAGATATCAGGTCTGACATTGGTCTGACCAATCCATGCCTTCTCTACCAGTCGATGAAACCAATCCGCGATCATCGCACCAAAAGATAACCTGGTTCAATTGAAGTGAGAAAGTTAAAAGTTGGCCAACTTCTTACTTGTTACTTGTTAATTGATAATTGTTAAATGCCTGCATAAACACCTTCATTGAAAACAGGAAGTTCAACTTTCAATTGCTACTTGTTAAATGATAAATGTTACTTGATAATTGTTAAATGATGCTGCACAAATCCACCTTATGCGTTGTAGCAAGATATGCTCTGCTACTTTTTCACAACCTCCAAATTTCGTATTCTTTATCTTCAATTAAAAAAGAGTTATTGGAGAATCACCCAGTAATATTAAATATGTTAATTTCGAATGTACCTACCTAGTTGATTTTCTTCTTCGATAAATAGTATTTTAATTCAAACTGATTGCTTTTGCTTTACTAGTTTACTATATTCAAATCAAATAATTCTTTGACATGTTTTCAATGAGATGCAGATATAATATATCGTCGATGAAACCGCAAAACCAAGTAACTGCAAGAACCAAAATTTTCAGGAGACACTAAAAACTTTATAATTTCGGGTTAACTGATCAGATTCGATAAAAAATAGTAACAAACCACCTGATTATTATTATCCTTACGTTTGTACATTGATCATTGTGAAAAAATTCATTGTTTACGTTTGTCAGCGTAAGATTTGACATCTGCTTCTGTGCGAAAGCAACAACAATTATTCAGAAAAGTAATTCGCAAAAACACGTAACTTCATTTTTCTGGACTTTCCGCTTAACAAATACTGGAGATAAATTCTCACATCCTGTGTTGAAATACCAATTGAAGTTAAAAATAAACTGTTTTAGATATCTGTTCTATAAAAAGTCACTCACCAATTAGCAGAGATTGATCTCTGTGAAAAGAAATTGAACACAAAATATCAGAGGCGTGAATTACGTTGCCAACTGTTATATACTTGTTTTTGACGACCCCTTTCATTTTGTTTTTCAGATAAGAGGTTTTGTATTTATGGATTTTGAAATATTCACAAATTTTTACCAGTTGTGAGGTTTTGCATACGCATCCCCACCAATATGATAGACCGAATACCGCCAGAATCCCATTTTCGAATTTTTGTCAGTTACTTGGTTTTGCGGTTTCGTCGACGATATTGCACTTTTCGTTCAATGTTGGCGTATATTCCACACACTATAGGCGATTAGCATACCATTTGAGTGTCTGAATGGTCTAAGTCTAAGGTATTAGTACATTAAATAGATATTACCTATAGTATGTTCCGAACCAATTCAAAGGTACGTATAACTGAATGATGTAAGTGGCAAATAGAACATAGTCACCAGCTTGAAGTTCATGCTTGTCGACTACAAGATGCACACATAATAAGCTTCCGGCCAATAGCCCTCCACAAATTATGATATTTTGAACTGTGTTCAAAATATTCAACGTTATTGATGATTTGAATTCTTCCTCCTAAAATGAAAAATAAGAATTGAGTTTGTTAGCTCATTGCCATTCCGTGATAATGTCAGTAGAACAACCATAAAGCTTATTTTAGCTTACATTGCGAAATACAAATTGATACAATTGTTAGATTGGGGTGAATACGATTATAATATATTATACAAGTGGGCTGGTGACGGCTAATTTCAAAATCAGTCGGATGTCAATAAGACTCGAATTCGCGATTATTTCAATGAGTAAAATCGCTAATTAAAAAAAAAACCGTGATGTTCATCACGATGAGATAATACAAATTTTCTCACCGTACTGACGTCAGAAGTACTATATCCGTCGTGCCTCCATCCAAGTAGTGGATAATAAACAATTATTGAATATTTGTTCTTGAATAATTCTACAATGGGTTCAAGATATTTTGACTAATCCCTACTAAAAAAAATTCTATCGCATATTCTCAGATATATTATGAATGTGAAAAGTACAAAAAATTCAACGCCTACTAAGAGCTTCGAAAATATAAATCGATTGCATTGACTTTGACACAGTACATGATGTTTATACAATTTTTTGTTATTTACTCGAACTTATTTATTTTACCCAATTCCGAGTTGTACCGATTTATAGTAAGTGTTTCTTGAGTGACAAAAAATGCGATGATTTTTGCGAGAATGCCATGAATATTAGTGACTTCGGCAATCATTGTTGTGGCAATTGTTTTACAAGCGACAGATTTAGCAATGATGTTTGGAGAATGCAGGAAAAATTGTAGGGAATCAAAATGAGTTTACGCACAGCGTTATCCGCATAGAAGAATCCCCGATCCAAACATCTTTCCAAGTTCTTTGCTTGTAAAACAATTACAATAACAACGGTTGCGAATCAACTAATATTTATGACATTCTCGTAACAATCATCCGTAATATTTTTGTCAATCACGAAACTTTTCACTATAAACCAATATAACTCAGAAATTACTAAAATAAATAAGTTCAAGTAAATCACAAAAAATGTTTATAAAGAACATGTACTATTGAGTGCGCATAAATCAAAATTCAATGCAATCGATCTACATTTCCGACGCTTCGCGACGCTCAGCTCTTGTAGGCGTTGAATTCTTTCAACTTTGAAAAAAATCTACTTGACCTGATCCATCGACTACTTTATACAGAAAATGAATATTTCTGTTCGATTTCGAGATATTCTCGTGCGGAGTTTCAAGTGAAAAACCCTGTATATAAAGAAATACATTGAGAATTCTTTACGCAGTTATTGACCTTGGAAACTTCTGCAAGTCTATATAAACTTTCAAGGTCAATAACTACGTAATAAAGTGCCTCCAAATTGAACGATCCACCTATTTGGTAACTGTAAGATGTGAGAGGCGTACTACGAAAAAAGTTTGGGGGGATAAAGAAGCCTCTACCCCAAAAAACGTATCACCCTGTAGATTTAGAAAACTTTTTAAAATGCTTACAATTATTATTTCCTAGGAAGTACTAACCACACCAAATTTCAAATCAATATTTTCAAGATATTTCAATCAATAAAAAAAACTTTGACCCCCTGTAGCTCTGCTACTGATCGAGATCGGACTCAGTTTGTACTTTGAAACCTGAATCACCCTGTATGATGTTGAAAGCCATATTTCTGAACCAATAAAACACATAATTTCAGTTCAATCATTGAAATCTCTTACCTGAAATTTGAGAATGGCTTCCCTAAAGGCATCTACCTCATATTGCTCAGCTCCATAATATTTAACTGTTTCAAAATTCAGAAGAGAATCTACACTTCTGGCTTTTGTAGCATTATCAGCAAGATTCATACGTCTTTGGAACTTCGTTCGCCATTCAGTTACCATTATAGTTAATACTGAAAGTAATGATTAACTTAAGGATATCAATTTCGAAAAAAAATAGGAGCGATTCGGAACACCTTCATTTGTTTTTTCTACAAAGGGCAATATACAAATAGAAATGGATGAAAAGATATGATGGCTAATATCCCATTTATATTAATAATTGTTAATGTCATTCTGATACTGGATGGAATGGTCAATATTAGGTTTACTTCATAAAAATAAAATGACATCGTGTGGGTGAGTTTCGCCGAGAAAATTACTTGAACCAATTCAAAGCCATCAATACGAAGTCTAAAACAACAGCTATTTGTTGCTAACAAATCAAATAAGTTTGATAACTCATCAAAATGTTTGTGAAAAAGAAAACTGAATATTCCAACGATGTCACCAGTATAGGTGAACATGTTAACCGCACGTCTTTGCTTGCATTCAATTGTTTCATATTGTCACGAAAGGATATTTTCCAGAGTATTCTGAAATATTACTATTACTATTATTATTATTTTAGTGTTCTAATTCATCGAGTTTATTATATTTCTCGGCAATTCAACTGTCCTCCTTCATGACAAAACATTTTTCAATAAAATGAACATTTGAGGTGATCGAAATCCACGTACCAAGGGGGACTTGACTTTTGGTCCGAGTAGCGGACGGTTGCTTGTGGCAACGGGGATGTCCCAATTGTGACATCCCCGAGTTTTGTTCGATTATTATAAGTACCAATTTTATTATTCATTCAGTCGTCAACCTAATACCTCTTCAAGGAATGTCAAAAGTGTATTTTATCATTAATATATCCATATTTGTTTTTGCTGTTCAATCTGTAGCCCTTTTATTGAATTCTAACCCTCAGCAAATCTCAACTAGCAAAGAAAATAAGTCACATCCGTGACAATATTGTAGCAGAATGCTTATTATGTATTATATACACTATGAGCTTAAGGCCGTGTGGACCGTTTCCTAGGTGTTGGAAAAACAATTCATTTGTTGTTAGATCAAAATATTCTTATTCACAATATTTTATACTTGAATTTCCTTTGCTGAAGGCTTTCTGGTGAAGCAGGGTTTGTTCACTGAGATAAACTCTCTACCTGTTTTCAGGTGAGTGATGTGAGTCTTCGAATTTATATTATATTATTCAGCAAACTAATGTTTCAGAATTGTGAATGTTCTCGTAAGAAATATAAGAGGAAAAAACTAGTTGGAATAGACTTATTTTTGACGCCCCTGAGATCCATTTCTATTTAACCTATTCCACTACGTTACAATATCAAGTCCCAGTATTATTGATTGGACATCTGCTTAAACATCGAATAGAGAAGTTAAAAAGTTGTTGAATTTTAAATTTGAAAATTAGTGGTGAAAGTGAGGTTACTTACTCGTCAGGTTGACAAGAAAATTATCCATAAAAATATCTTTGGGTCCTGTTTAGTGATCAACATTGAAATTTGTTTCCCAAACTGGGATAATATGCAGATTACATTTTTTTAAAAGCTAACATGGCTGCGGCATACTGTCGTGTTGAAATTTTGAAGTTGACATCTGACATGACATTCAAGACATGACATGTCAGAGAAATTGTCAAAAAAATGTTGGTAGAAAACAATTCAAAATGTAAACAATGTGAAAATAAGGTAATGGACAAACAGATTCCTAAGGTGCCATTATTGTACTGGTCTAATAAGAACGTATCCAAAAACTCATTAATCTGGATAATCAAAATGCAACAAGTGACTATTAGGATTAGGCAACAAGTTCGAGAAAGAATCTGTCGATTAATTTTCAATTAATTCCCACTCTCTTGTGAATGTACTACAGAAAATATCACTTACCTATGTATAATATCATGGTAATGAATACTATACCACCAAACCAAATATTAAAAGCAGCAATGAAGTATACCACAGCTATCAAAATATCAGTTATAGTGGGGAAAATTGAGAAGATTATGTAACTCAATAAATTATTTATACTGTCGGTCCCTCTATCCATAACTCTTAGAACTTCACCAGTTTTCCTTCCGAGATGCCATCTCAACGACAAACTATGTAAATGCCTGAACAATTCGACCTGAAATTATAAATGAAGTACATACATGTGAGTTTTTATTGTAATTTAGGAGATATTGCAACAAATAATTATGAACGAATTAAAAGGAAGAGTCTGGCTATGTTTATAGTGGTCTGAATGAAAATATAATAAAATTGATTTATTTTGAAGTGGTTTAAAACTTGAGGAACATATATTAGAGATTAAATGTAGAGTTTGGTAGAAGACAAAAAAACGAAATTTAGAAGTTTGCCTGGATTCTTTTCTTGTGATTCATTGTGTCATTCAGTCTCATGCAATACATTTCATTTGTAGCTCCCATTTCGGAAGCACAAATGATTCGAAAAAATGAAAAATTGATGTCAAATTTGATATTAGTGATTTATACATATCCTAAATTCAATGGATATGATAGGAATTATATCAATGATAGTATGCAAGGTGTTCATAAAATGTTTGTACAAACTGATACCACGGATTTCTGTCACCGAAATAAGACGATTGAATTGAATTTCTATACCAAAATGTTCAGTTCAGCTGCTTCAAAGCGTTTTATAAAATATTTCCTTGTATATTTTCGCTTGAATTCTCCAATGATTACAGGTTTCTTCGTAATGTATTTCATTTGACGTAATTTGAGTCATGGGATTTTGTACTGCGATGTTCATTTAACGAAAGAGCTGTTACATTCTATACAGCAGGGTTCAATAATGAATACTCTACAAAAAATGATATCCAGTGACATTTTGGCGAACTTCTTACTGGCAATTGGCAGGTACGATCTGTACTGATAAGCCCACTAATTTTTCATTCCGATAGCTTCAAGAGAAAAAAAAACGGTAGAATATATATGTATCTGACAATTTCATGTATACAATCAATTCTTGAAGTTAAAAAGGTTGAACCCGAAATTGAAATAATCTTACCTCTACTTCTCTGGTAGTGTACTGTTGTATTCTGATCCACAAAAAAGATCTGAGATTATTCAGCAATCCCATTCCTCCGGTTCCCCCACCTTGCAAAAATTTGAAACCCACATATGTCAACACCCAATCCCATCGGAATACCATTTTGCTCTCTTCGCCGCTCATAGAGTCAACTGAAAAATAAAAATAAAATCAGTACACACTTTTTTAATAATAATATAAGAAAAACTTGTAATGATGATGTGAGGGAAACGCCAAATCATCATGTAAGGAAAAATCCAAATCATCACCCCAATTTTCCTGATCAATCATAAGTTTATATCGAAGAATATGTGTCACGCCTGTAGTACATGGTGTTTCCATAATTGGGGCGATAAATTAAAATGATAATAGAAGACAAAAAAAAGACCTTCAAGTACATTTGTCGACAAAAAACTCTCTAAAATACTGGATTTTATAGTTTGACTGGAATTTTTTGAAAATTGTTGATAACATTTGATTCTAACAGAGTCAGAAGCACCGTAATAGAAGGAGAGCCGGTTGCAGATTTTTACCGTCATCTGATAACGAAATGTAATAATAATAATAAATTTATTGCCATTGGTTTTTTTACAAAAACATTAGCAACGTCAGATTCAGATATACAGGGTGTTTCATAATTGAATGTCAATATTTGGGGACGCAATTCTTGGGCCCATTCTAAGAAGAAAGTTTCATATGAACGTATGACCTAAACATCCTAACTTTTGAGATACAGGGTGGTAAAGTTCTCAAAAATTAATAGTTTTTTATTAATATCTGTAATACCACTTCAGATATTCTGATGAAATTTGGCATACATGTACTATGTATCAAGAGGCATCAGTTAGCGTACCACATTTTTTGTTGTTGCCACCAGTGGCGTTCGTATGGAATTTCACATACCTATTTTGGCAGACATTGATGGTACGCCACTGATTAATCTCCAAATTGAAATCATTCCTGGAATTCCCGATCATTTCTAAGCAAATTTGATCACTACAATTTTTTCAATCTGATGCACGGTTTTCGCTTAAAAATAAAAAGCTTTTCACTACATGATTATAGTAATATTGTTAATATGACAATATCACAATGCAGAGAAATAGTTTTTATTTTTAAGATCAAATTTCAGAAATACAATTCATAGTTCATGAACTTTGTATTCGTATTTGGTATTTTCGAATTATAACTTCTCATTGTAGTAGGCTATATTAATTTTCGAGAATTTTACCACCCTGTATCTCAAAAGTTGGGACGTTTAGGTCATACGTTCATATGAAACTTTCTTCTTAGAATGAGCCCAAGAATCGCCTCCTCGAATATTGACATTCAATTATGAAACACCCTGTATACATAGGTACATTCATAACATAATACTTATACACACATGAATATAGGTAGAATTTTACAAGCAAAAGAATATAACATTTACAATTTATAATTAGCACACTTATCACCAAGTATTCAGACAAAAGGTATATACCTATAATACCTACACTACAAAAGTTTCTAGATTGAAATATTCGTCCAATGAATAAAATGAAGATATTCTTATTATGGATTTCTTTGAGACGTGGTGGCAGTGCATTATACATTTTTATACAATTATAGTACGGACCTTTCTCGAACAGACCAGTTTTATGGAGTGGAATACGTAAGAGTTTAGTTCCTCTTGTTTCCATATTAGAGATGTGTTGATTATTTGTAGGGAACGTTTGCTGATATTTTCTAGCAAATATCGCAATGTTATATATGTAGGAACAGTGAACAGTCATAATTTTTAAATTTATGAATAGTTGTCTGCAAGAAGTGTCATTTTTTAAATTAAGTATAGTTCTCATGATTTTTTTTTGATAAATGAATACATCCTTGGATGTTGGTGAGTGATACCAAAAAATCACGCTGTAGTCAATAACAGAATGCACATAAGCAAAATAAAACATTCTAATGTTGTGAATACTGAGATGGTTCCTGAGATATCTGATAAGACAACAAGCAGATGCTAATTTACTCATTATTGCTCTCCCCTGATCCGTCCATCGTAGATCTTCATCTATCATTACCCCTAAAAATCTGGCAGAATTTGTTGCATTCATTCCAGAATTGTATATACCTATCAATGTGAAGTGTATCTTTCCTATGATTTTTGAAAAATACGTAATTTGTTTTGTTCTTATTGATCACTAAAGAATTATTTTCACAACATTCTACAACTCGAGAGACAGTTGTATTAGATGTCTCATTCAAAGCACCGATGTCTCTTTCAGACACAACGACTGAAATATCGTCTGCGAATAAGAAAACGGAACTAATGTCTATTTGGGAACATATGTCGTTAATAAATATTAAGAATAGAATTGGTCCGAGTATGGAGCCCTGAGGCACCCCTATACCAACTTGTACACTGTCAGAATAGTATGTCGAAGACTTGGAGTTATTTTCTGATGAGATACCGACTATTTGTGTCCGATTGCTGAGGTAGGATTTCATCAAATCATTAGCTTTGCCTCTGACACCATAGTGCTCTAATTTTTGCAATAGTATTTCATGATTAATGAGTTCGAAAGCTTTGGTTAGGTCAAAATAAATGCTAGTCACTTTGTTTCCTTTGTCCAGTTGATCTATTATATAATTCAAAGAATCATATATCGCAGATTTAGTGGACTTATTTGGAAGGAAGCCGTACTGATTCATCACGAATATATCATTCTCAATAAAATATGATAGAAACCTATTGTAAATTAGACGCTCAAAAATTTTTGAGAAGGCTGACAGAATTGAGATTGGTCTGTAGTTTGAAATCTCATTTTTTTGTCCTTTTTTGTATACTGGTACAATTTCTGCGATTTTTAATGCATCAGGGAAGATTCCGCTAACGGATGGCAAATCAGATTCCCTACACGTTTGAGAACAGTAACTGGTATATTATCAACACCAACTGAAAATTTCGGAGGTAGGGCCATTATGGTACGCCACACTTCGTCAGGACATGTTGGTTTCAAGAACATGTTAGTTGTATATTGACTGGACCCATTCAGACTTACATCGTTGATAGGAGTATCTGTTCTGTACCTAGAAGTATCGAAGTGGTCACTGAAATTATTTGCAATCTGCTGCGGATCTGTTATACATTCATCATTAATTTTAAGGTTAATACTTTCTTTATTATTTTTCCGTTTTCCTGTCACGTTATTGAACATGGTCCAGGTACTTTTAACTTTATTCTGCGAGTTATTGATTATGTTGTCATTGTAGTCTATTTTAGCTTTATCAATCGCTTTCTTATATTCTTTTTTTTTTCAGCTTTATACTGCATATGCAAACTTTCAAGCTTAGTTTCTTCATACAGTAAGCTCATATCGCGCAGTTTTTGCGACTGCTTTCTTATCTCAGGTGTCCCCATTTATTATGTTTATTGCCCCGACAACTCGACACTTTCAGAAGAGGAAACCCGCAGTCGAAATGGTAAAAAAAAATTCTGAAGAAATTGTCGTACTTTGAATTGTTATATGTAAATACATTGTAGTTCATCAAACGGTACCTGTGCCAATCACTATCTTGTAGAAAATTATTAAAAATATACACTTTCCTGTGCGGAAATTGGCAATGTGTTACCACTCAGTCTGAGCTAAATCCACGGCACAGCGATTTATTTGCTCCTTTTATTCCGGACATACTTCCGTCATGTGATAACGAGTTGAAACAAAAAGCAAATGAAAGGGAAGAATGACCCTTTTGCGAATATCCAAAGTGCCGCGATTCAAACTGATCTAAGTTAGTGGCAGAGCCTCAATGTTTCCATGAATATTTCGCGCACATCTAAAGATAATATCATATGGACCAGTCTGAAACTCATGTGGTGCTTACACTTCAAGTATTCTAATCCACATGATCAGTTTTACAGTGGTTCATCGGATATCATCTTCAGAGGGGACCGAAATAGTCTGGGAAGTATTGACACTCTGCCACTAACTTAGATCAGTTTGAATCACAGCATGTTCAGATATACGCAAAGGCGACATAATCCCCTTTTATTTGCTTCTTGTTTCGACTTGTTATCACATGACGGAATTATGTGCGGAATAATACCTTTTGAGATCTACCATTCAATTGGTATCGGATGACAATATTGGACTATAAGTATCAATGACTTTTCCAAATAAGTAAGTGCGTATAGTTTTCGGAAAAATTGAACAAATAGATATTCCTTAAAATACACAGGTATACTTATTTTTCAGTATGTTGAAGGATCAACATATTAGATAAAAAACCACCAAGCTGAAAATCGTTTCAATACCTTTATTTGGTCCTAAAATAAGTGAACTGTGAGTTTGCATCATTCCAGGAGGTGAGCTTAACTTATGAGTGCCCAAAAAACGAAATTTTTTGCACTATTTGTTATGTTTTTTGCATCTAGCTCAAAGACAGTGCGTAGAACGAAAAATGGCAACCTGTTTGATATTGAATAGGGGGAATTCTGCTTAGACTGCATGTAAAATCTTTGAATGAGATTTAGTAGGATAGCCGAAATCGAAAGATGGAAATTTAAAAATTTTCTCATTTCAATGCAAACTTATATTTTGTGACTTTCCAAGACCACTCATATTTGAATCGGATACTCCTTTTGGAAAAACTCAAACTCAATTTCTTCCTTAGAAAGAGTGACTGAATTCCGTCTTTTCTTCAATGAATTAAGACATCATTATAATTATACACAAATATCACCATTTTTTTCATGAATAATAAAGTTTCCAAACTTGATTCATTCAACCATAGACATAAACTCAAGAAAGCTAGAAAAAAAAAACGTTTTTGAATTTATGCAACAGTCGAAAACTGAGAAATCAATATAACACAAAAAACTGTATCTATCTATCCATCTGTGTAGGAGATATGTGTTCCGGAATGTCACAAAATATAAGTTTGCACTTATATCCTACTACTTAACCCGAATTTAGACCTAGGTCGCTTATTTTTTAAATGAAAAAAATATAGTGGAATGAAACCCATTGAAAAAGGAAGAGAATAAAACAAAAAATAAAGAAAAAATAAATTACGGTCGATCTGATGTAGGGTAGTGGTAGGGGGTGAGCTTTTAAGGGTAAAAAACGGTTAATCTCCATTTCCAGCAAAACTAAAAGTCCTATGGAAAAATGTTGAATGGCAAAGTTGTAGGTTATAATATAACCACACACAAAATTTATGTGTATGTGTGTATTTTTATCTTCTTCAAAAAAATATCAGGAAATTTTGTGAAAACTCACCTTTTTTCATGTCCCAAACACACTGTGATTTTTTTTTTCACCTTATTTTAACCTAATATCGAAAAAGCACCCTAATTTTCAATAGAAAATTCTCGCGTCAAAATATCTGCTTTTTCAAGAAAGTCGATGGACTTTTTGTTCGTTGAAATCTATTCTATCTGATAGTATAAAAAATACATTACTATGGTAAATTTTCTCAAAAAGTGCAAAGAAACGAAACTCGAATAGAATTTTTATTCAATCATGTACAATTTTGAGCAATTTATCGAAATTAACACTAATAATTACTCGAAAAACGTGAGATTCCATGTTACATTAATAAACAAAGAAATTTCAAATCCATAAAACATTAGAATTGCAAAAACATGCGAAAAAAGTTGTTCTAAATAATAAAGATAGGACTCAAAGGGGATCGACTTGTTTGAAACAACAGATATTTTGACTGGGCTTTTAAGTCAAAATAGGGTGAAAAAATGAAAATTTCAAATCAAAAAAGTTACAGTGTAAAAGTAAAATAAAAAACCAAAAACTTGCTTTTTTAAAATTTTCAAATAAATTTTGAGGTTATTTGAAAATAGTGTGGAAATAAAAGTTAGAGATCCTTTCATTACCTACAACTTTACCATTCAACTTTTTTCCATACGGCTTGTAGTTACTAGAAATTGAGATGAACTGTTTTTTACCCTTGAAAACTCACCCCGTACCACTTCCCGAACTCAGATCGCCCGTCATTTATTTTTCCTTTCATCTTGTTATATTTTCTTTCTTTTCCAATGAGTTTGATCCTACTATTTTTTTAAACTATTTTACCATTTTCAAAGGCTGCAGCACTGGTCTATTAATATTAAATGGGTTTTTATTGTTCCTTCGACGCACTGTTTTCGAACTACAAGTAAAAAACTGAAAAAAAATTGTGCAAAAATTCACCTCTTTTGGAGTCCCATAGATTAAGCCCATCTCCTGGAATGGTTCAAATTCACACTACACTCGTTTAGCACTAAATGCAGATAATGGAACGATTTTCACCTTGGTGAGAATTATTTAATTGACCTACACGTGTTTTAAAACAGGATTATACAAAAATACTCTTTATAATCACTTGCACACTTACCTATGAGTTTTTGATAAATAGGAACATACAAATTTACCACTCTTCCTCCTGCCAATAGGAGGAAACAAAATATAACTCGGAACTGTAAAGAAACATCTTTCTTTGGCCAAATAAACGGAGACAAGATTTTTACTTTCTTCCAGAAGTTTTTCCATGTCGACTGATTGTCACTTGCTTCCTGAAACAAAGATATAGATTTATTGTCTGATAATGGGATTTACTGACGTGAAAAAAATTGGAAACTGTAACCTTTTATAATCCGATAAATCTGTATTACCTTCTTGAAATTCACATTGACAGAAATACTCGTGAAGTTGACATTGCTTTTCTGGTTCTTAAGAGCTCCTAATTCTTCCTTCTTAACTGCCATCACTTTTAAGAATGAAAGAACTTTATTTTTTCATAGTGAAAATCGATTGAAATATACATGATTAATATGGAAATTCAAATGTAAAAAATATAAGTTGATCTCACCTAAGAGAACATAGATACATTAATTTGATTTTTTTTCAAAAATACTTTCAAATAGACATCATTTTCTATAAATCTGAATGATTGTCATTCAACGTCATTATTTCAACAGACACTTTGATGCGTTTATACTTATTTACATCTGGGAGACTAATCAAAACTAAATATTACATAACGAGATTGAACATATTGTACAATTTTAATGATGGTGAATATACGAAAGATCAGTCACATTAGATCGCTACACCAAATGTTTTGTCAACTTCTCAGAATATTATACAGGGTTAATCGAGACTGAAAATCTCCCTTTGAATAAAAAAGCCAATTCATTTTTTCCTTCATAAAAACTGAAACTCAGGGACCAACATTCTTCTACCTAAATAGTTTAATAATAGACATTCTCCTCGATGACGATTTGTCCAATTTGGTACAGAAAGGCGGTCAAATATAGAAAATGAATACATTAATCTGTGATAGTTGGTTGAAGGTAGGAATTGATAGATGCTCAATGCTACAATGATAAGGAAGTACGAAGTCATACATAAAACGTTTCAGTTTAAGAGAACCAAAATGAACATATTTCTACCACACAACAAATGTCTCGATCATCAGCGTAAAAACTGTTTTCGTGGCTTGTATTCATCAAGTTCTTGCACCACTTATTTCAATCTTCTTGAATGCTGATATACAGGGTGTCTCATGTATTACGACAAACGAACTGGTTAAGTGTTGAAAATCATTGATCTTTTCATAAATACCAGCTGTCAAAAGAAATACGGTACCATAATAATGTTGATTAATCTCCCATTCTATTGGTTAACCTAAAGTAGCGTCTGAAATTTTCATGCTCTTGACATTGACATTCCATAGCAATTGCAAGCAACTTTGATTACAAAAAATGTTTATCGTCTTGATGAACTAACGTCAAATGACTGATTTCTTTGGTGTCAAAATCAAATATTCACTAATTACTTTCGGATTGTAGTACCTCATGTCACAGTATTCATTATATATTTGGATGTAAAGCACTGATTTTGAATAAACTTTGAAATATGATTATTAAAATTCAGATACTCCTTCGCCTGAATAAATCCCAAACCTATAATTCTGCGCAAGCTTGAAAATATGACTAGAAATATCACATATCGATCTTCTCAGGTGAACTATTATTTCGATAACTTGTTAAATTTTAAATCCTTGATGGAAGTTATAGTCGATCACTTTCATAGACAGGTGCGTTAAAATGAATGATGAATTAAATTGAATTACAAAAGAACCGAACCTAATAACAAGACATCCAAAAGTTATTCTTATGTTACGTAATACTTTGCACAAATTCGTGAGCACTACGATAATAGTCCACTGAATCTGATCCAGAAATAACTATCGTCGCGTTTCAAATACGCACTATCATCAATACTTACCAATCTCTGCTACAAAAGAGATAAAATTAAATGGTTTTAATGATGATCTGATATAATTCATAGATAAATTTGAACACAGATGAAAGAGTATTCTGATTATCAATTATCAAATATAATTATATAATTCTTATCATTCGAAAGTGTTCGTCATTGTCTTCATCATCATCAAATGAAAATAAAATATACAGGGTGAGTCATTGAAATGGGAAAGCTCGGTTGCACCTACACCGTTATTGATATTAGAAGGAACCAAAAGGCTCTGCAAATGTTTGTAAAATTATTTTGCTCAAACTTCAACATGTTTTTTGATTGCCCTCTTTATTTTCATACATATTTGAATTCGTCTTCTGTTAGGCTTTATAAATCCGATTAGTTTTTCCGATTCGCTTATACTGTTCAGAATACTGTTACGTTATTCGGGTGCAGAAGCGAACACGACACTATTAATATTTTAACTAAAAGAACACTAATTTATATCGAACTTATAACTACCATTTATGTATAACGATTTATATCACCCGGTATATGACTGTCTCTCTGACACTCGCTGCTTAACTGACTGACGGCGGCATTAGAGCCTAGCCATAGCACCACTATACGGGAAATGTTGCCACGGTGGCAAGTCAAGAGCGTATGAAATTGTTTTGTAGTTTGTTTTGCCAGAAGCGTGGTGGTCATTAGAGTAGTATTCCTTCCTCCGAACTATACACGCATGATTTCCCTGTATTCGAGCGGACGAGTACAGCATTGTACGCCGACGATACGGCTATACGGATATATATGCTCACTCGGACGACTCGAATATCGCCGGGGCACAGATCCAGATTCATCTTGACAGGGGAATCATACCGTACTTTGACGAGTCAAAGATCTGTATAAATAGTGCAAAGACAGAGGTCATCAATTTTCACAAAAAAGTCAATAACTCCCGACTGAGCAGACCTTTGACCTTTGAAAGGGGTTGAGGTGGCAGACACGACCACCGTGAAATACCTGGGAGTCAAATTGGACACCCGTATGAGTCTCAGGAAAAACATCAACTACCTCATACAGAAAACGCAGACGGCAATAAAGAAGATGTATCCCTTGTTATCCAGGACCTCCTCTCTCTCGCAGGAGAATAAGGTCCTGGTATACAAGCAGATCATCAGACCTGTGATGACATACGCGTGTCCAGTATTCTGCAGCATCTCACCTACTCATATGAATAGGTTACAGGTGCTGCAGAACAAAGTACTCCGTATTATTTCCAACGGTAATAGATTCTCTCGAGTGGCAGGTCTCCACGAGAGATGTGGTAATTTGCCTAGAATCAAAGAATACATATTGAAAATCTCTAATACCACATCGCTGGAAGTGACCTTACCCGGAATATAACAACACTTAGACAACACCATAACATTCATAAAAAACACGGACTGATATATGCATCAACCGATGTCTTTAGGGAGCCTGACAATCTATAGTCGGGAACCTCTCCGGGTGCTCGAACATGACCGAGCCACCGAGGAGACTGTAGACAGCACTATCTCCCAAGCCAGAAAATAACAGAGTGTCATAAAAGACACTGAACTCGGGCAGAAGGGCCCATGTGGAAACACATGCGCACAACTGCCCGAGACAAACAAGAAGGAGGTTTTTTATTTTATTTCAATTTTATTTTTCCTCCACCGACTAAGAAACCCTTTCCACTCTGATCGCGCACGAGCAACTCCCCCACCCCTTTGGGTACCACCAGCGAGATTACCTATATAAAGGGCCTAGCCCTAGGAGATAGGTCACTGCGACGAACACCTCACATATCCATTCATATTCCTTGGCTAACACCAGCCACCTCTGCGTCAGTGGAGGGACGTTCAGGCATACTCTCAGATATGCCGAAGTCATCATACACAAATATGATTGAAATATGTGTTGTATTGTTAAAACTTCGAGGATAAATAAATGAATTTAATACCTTCCTCCGAATGAAATGACCGGGGTTCGATCCTTACTCCAGCTATTTTTTTTCGAAGTAATGAATTGAAAAAATACTATGGAAGCATTTATTGGTTAGGCCGATAGTGATTCGCTATTTCAATTATGTTTCTTCTCAGGATCGGCCATGAATTTTCAGTTTCTCGCGCTCTGCGTGCAGGGAACGAGGCGCAATATTACCTCGCTATGGTGCTATGGCTAGACTTTAGTGACGAGCGGTCCGGCCCTCCTTATACACTGAGTCCAAGATAAGGAGGGCCAGTATGGGGATATTCTAAACTATAAGAGATACGGCTTTGGTTAAATGGGAAAAAAGTTGTGCAATCAGAAGACCAACAATGTGATATCAAGAAATCCGAGATGCGACTCTTCATTTTGAGTTACTTTTAAAAACCTGATTTTTCGGGTTTTCGATATTATTTTTTTCTGACATTATTATAGGTTGGACCAAATCTGTTGCAACATCTTCCCAGCAATTTTTGATGAATCCCATTGTGGCATCATCAATTTCGCAATCAAACGTTTCGTCTTCACGCAACCATCATCAACTTCATTTTTTCAAATACGGTCCTGATTTCATAATGTCAAATTTGAGAAGCTCTTTTCATCCCAAATTCAACGATGTACTACACATAAGGTTTTGATTGCGTTTTGAGTCAGTTTTGACCATTATCAGGAAATGTTTGATATTCTAGGTGTCTAAGTATAAGTTTATCCAAAAACAATTGCAGAGTCTCGTGCCGCACCTGCAGTAATTTCAAAGGGAATTTCAAACACGCCGACGCCACACAGTGCGGGTTATTCTGCAATTGATATTGGATTTATAACAGCTAATAGGAGTAACTCAACGAGAACTTTGAAAGACTGATGTCGAAGTAAATGTCAAACTAACAATCAACAACAATCATATTCACTTCTTTTTCAAAGTCTACTTTTTCTGTCGATAGCAATGAACACTCATTTATAAAATTCTTGTAACGGTTCAAGAAATAATCTTGCAAATTCAAGTTGTTGTGCTGTGGGATACAAATAATCTTCATCAGTTAATTAGAAATGGTTTTATGAAAATACCTGAAATAAGAAAATCAAGAAACAATGTTTCAAGTACGAGAGTTTAAAAAGCTCATGGAAACAGGTTCGAATCTCTAAACATTTCCTGATAATGGTCAAAACTGACTCAAAATGCAATAAAAACATAATGTGTAGTACATAGTTGAATTCAGGATGAAAAATACTTCTTTTGACATTATGAAATCAGTACCGTATTTGAAAAAATGGAGTTCATGATGGTTGCGCGAAGATGAAACTTTTGTTACCGAAATTGAGGATGCCATATTGGAATTCATCAAAAGTTGCTGTGAAGATGTTGCAACAGATTTGTTCCAACCTGACTGATAATGTCAGCAAAAAATAATATCGAAAACCCGAAAAATCAGTTTTTTCAAAATGATTAAAAAACGAAGAGTCGCATCTCGGATTTCTTGATATCACATGGTTGGTATTTTGATTGCACAACTTTTTTCCCATTCAACCGAAGCCGTATCTCTTATAGTTTAGAATATCCAATATCCCCATACTGGCCCTCCTTATCTTGGACAGTGTATATCAGATCCTTTGGCAGGCTTTGCTTGTCTAACCTCGAATAATCTTCCGTATCCTTCTTTTGTTCTAGAAGCTTCTTAGAACAAAACCTCTCTCTCTAATTGTTCCATCGATTGTTTCCAGAACATTCCACATTTAGTCACGTTATTTGTCACCGCGATATATAATGAGTGTTCGGAAATAGGCTGGTACATGTTAGAATCACTGAGATGCGTGGTACAGGATGATCGTTGTACTCCTGCCTTCCTGATGATGTGTCTAGATGCCCTCTAAGGGGAATATCATTACAATACGTTTGCAGGAACTTTTTCGAAAAGCCCAAGGTACTTGGTTTTGAGAAGATCAAGTTGGTATTTTGTCAATGTCTGAGCAACTGCCTTGGGTATCTTCTGGCGGAAAGATCGTAAATTTACATTGTGATATCACCTTGCAATGACACATCGATTTTGGTAAACTTTAAGGGGGGCCATAACTTGATTTTTTCAAATGGCACTCCATGTTTTTCATTACTCCATTGAGTCAAGCTCGTCATTTCGCATCTTTTTGATATCCAGTGTTTTTTCACAAAAGTTAATAACTCAGAAGATAATTAACATTTTTAAAAAACGAACACATAATTCGAACCCAACCTAAGAGTGCCATGCCTCTAAGAACCAGTTATGTCTTTCCACTAAAATTTTGTGTCCATATCGAATCTGGCAAGGAGAGGAGAAACACAATTTGAAGAACAAAAACACAAACGCAGATTAAAATAATGACACATTTGATACAAGATATTCAGAAATGGCCATTTCGGTGCTTATTATCCACATCGGACGCATATCTCATAATATTTTTGTAAATATACTTATTTCAATTAAATTATGTAATTTTCGCATTCAAGAGGGAAAGCAGTTTCCCTTCCCTACTTAGATACTCTTGTGATCAAAAATGACGAGAACAACTCAGAATTTGATGTTTTTAGAAACGAAACACACTTAGATACATAACTAATAACTCAAATCACTGTTATCAACACAGAATGGCAAATTAATGTTTTCAAGTACATAGATTAATTCAATTTTCTCTGAAAAAAGCAAGAAGTGAAGAACTGATTCGTAGTTTCAAACTAGGTCTTCGAAATTCTACAACTTTTCAAGTGGATAGAAACAATTCGAGAAAAATCACAATCCCCTTCGACCCCAAGTATACAAAAGGACTTGAATTTGTGAATAATGTGGTGCGGCAGTGTCAGATCTATAAAGAAATATCAGTTACAATTATCCTAACCTGACATTTCACAGGTACAGTCGCGTTCAAAGAAAAAGCGTACAAGTATATTACAGAGAAAAATTAACGTCGTCCTATTCTGCATAAAACGGGCTATCGGGAATGATTGGTCACCAAATGTTGACAGTAAAGTTGTCATAGGTTCTCGAAAACACAAAGCATCGGCTGAGTCAGTTTTACACAACTAGAACTAGGATTCCAAAATCCTCTCTTTTTAATACTTGTATGCTGTTTTATTGAATACGACTGTACATACATAGAAAGTTGGTCCAGTACCGATCTGGTTTGAGTGTTTGCTCTTGTTGATGAAAAGGGTGTTTGAAGGATCTTAACTGTGACATAAATAAATCGGAAGTCATTTTACGTCAAAAATGGTGTTCTTGATGATGAAATATTGTGAATTGTTTGGGAAAATGTCAAAGCTCACTGTGAAAAACGGTTTGGAATGGATTTTGACACCCTTTAGTGTTATTTCGTAACCATAATAATGAAAATATTAACAAATTTCACTTACCTGAGATGGAAAGTTCCTTTGTGGATCATTTAGACTAAAATAATCAATATTTTGCATGATCCCTGGAGCTTTCAGACCCAATAAAAATATCAAAAGGCATGTCACATATCTCAACACAAACAATGCCATTTCCATTTGGTCAGTCAAACTGAAAAATGATGAAAGTATAATTATTGAACCAGTAAATTTCTGGGATGAGTGAAATGACAGAAATATTGACAAACATATTTCCACACAACCAATGAGTGTGATAGACGTCGAAGACACTTCTATGTCACACACATAAAGTACCCAAACAATGTTTAGTCAATATCTTCGCAGTTGTCTGACATTCAAACTGATTTATGCGAGGAAAATATCCTTCCTGCTCAAGAAAAGAGACAACTTTTTCTAAACAAACAAACCTAACTCGGCCTAGATGAACTTTCTTCCTAAACAATTTTTCGGAAAATTACAAGAGAAAAAAGGATAATACTCTTTCTGAACTATCTAACCTAATACGGATTAATTCAACCTTCTTTCTAAGGAGAATATTTTTCGGAAAATTACTTGGGACAAAATACTAAATAAAATAAAAAATTGTACCTCGCGAGGACTGAACCGGAGGCCTTACGCATGACAGTCGGACACATAGCCCACTGTGCCAAGCGCTCACTTGAAAAATTATCTGTGAAAAGAGGAATGCAAGAAATACTTCAGCCAATTGAGCGTACGGTAGTCCGAGCGTACTACCAGAGATACGTTACCCACAGAACAAGATGTGTACGTCAATGATAAAATTTGGAAACATCCTGTTCAGTGGTTTTGGAATCAACCACCAGATGAAACTAGTGCCGCTGATTGTAAAGAGATAGTATATCGTTATAGCTCCTATTCCATATGACAGTTGTCATTTAAAAAAGAAGAATTACAAATATTTATCTGTCTTTTGTCAATATGTTCATCTCGTTTTTTGTTTGTGTTGTTCTTTTTAAAGATTAATTAAAAGTTTTGCAATTGTTCAGGGTAGTGAAAGCGTAAAAGCATTTAGTACAAAAGTATTTTTTTATATTTTTTTGATGTTTTGAGTTGCTTATTTTGTGTTTACAACTATTTCTATTCTATAGAACGATTGAAAAAATTGACTCTGTCGGTAACATCAGGAAATAAGTGTGAATTTATAAACTGTGATAGAACACGTCGTCAAAATGGGGGTGTGGAAATGTTTCGTTTTTTCATTAAATATCTAGTCTGTGCAAGCGAATGGATCGTGAATTCTGGTAAGTACAGTAATCGTGTACTCGAAAAATGCGGTACTAGCAGGATATTTATACTAGTAAGTGGTGTCTTATTTTTTGGTTACAGGAAATGTCAAGCTAATACATTTAAGCTGGGAAAAAACTGCATAAGACAAGTTTGTGAATATCGAACATCATTTTACTAAAGATGACTACATATAAATCCATTGCTCAAAAATAGACTGAAACTGTCTGTCTGTCACCAAAACATCAATAGAAAGTGCTGGTCTACAGGAAAGTTTTGTATTTTCAAACAAGCCATCATCATTTGCAACAAAATAATATTTGAATGGTTCAAAGAAATGATATTTGAGTTCCCTAACAAGACAACATTGAATGTGACAAATCCGAAAAGGAAACGAGAATGATTCACTCACTTTTTCAATTCGAACCACCAACTCTTCTGCCCTAGATTCAAGAAGGCTAGATTCTCGGAGATGAATGTCAATGTCCAAAATATCAGTAAGACAATCCCATGACCCTTCGTAGGAACTGATGGTAAAAGGTAATGCCTCTCTACTTTTATTATCCATAATGAGAATGGATAGGCAAACGTCGTTAGGACTAAAGAAACTATCTGTAACAAAAAAAAAAGGTGGAGACATCTATTTTCATAATGTGAGGTTGGCTACATGGGTGTCAAATGTCTATTTCTAGATGAAACACAACTTTTATGCTACAGTCGCACTCAAAAAAAAGTGTACAAGTATATTACAGAGAGAAATTAACGTCATCCTATTATGCATAAAACGGGCTATCGGGAATGATTGTTCACCAAATGTTGACAGTAAAGTTGTCATAGGTTCTCGAAAACACAAAGCATTGGCTGAGCCAAAAACTCCCATCCTCGTGTATTTTGAAAAGCTATGAGTAGGAGGATATTTCAGAACTTTATCAAATATATCTATATATTTATATCTTATTTTCTCCATTCGAGTTGACTTGAGGAGGAAATACTCATTTTTTTATTATATTGAAAACTGTATGGTTGTTGAATTTCTGTGACGGGAAAAAAGTTTAATATTTTATCTCTGTTGACAGGTTACAAAATTTCACTTTTCATAAATTACTTTTTTCCCACGGGAAAAAAGTGAGTACTTTTATCCAGGATAGATAGGTGCACTGTTGATGGCTTTTGTCAGTTCCGAAAAATAAGCCAATAACACCGTCTCCGAGAAAGAACTGAAAGTCCTTTTCATCTTCCATTCCACTTCGCGGTTATGTAAATTACTAAGCAACAACTAAAATCACAATTTTTTGAAATCAAAACACAGAATTAAACTGACAGATAATCGATAACTTCAAAAGGTTTCCTTAGCAACTATAAAAATGTCTACAGAAAGATGCCTGCAACACAGGTAGTCCACCTGTTGAACACTTCAAATTTCACATCGATAATTTTCTGATTTTATTACAATATAATATCTTCTCAATGTTGAATCATCGTCTCTTCTGTCACAGAGAAAAATAGTGTATTATACACGGGAAAAATCTTAGATTTTAGCTCACGGTTCTTTGTCTCCCGCCGCTATACACTACCTCAAGCTAAAATCTAATAATTTTTTCCTTTTTAAAGCATTATAATAGGAAATTATAATAATGGTGGAATTACATCAAATAATGTATAGTATCTAGTACCCCATATCAGATTTGTACAAGTATTTCAACAAACATGCCAAACTGTTAGTTCCTAGAGAAACTTACTGGTCATGATTTCACATGATGTAATGTTAATGTCAAATTGAAATTGAATAAACTTCATATTTTCCAGAAATTACGAAGAGAACAATTTTTGTCCCATCAGAAACGAACCTTCTTTGACGAATTCCGAGGTGAAATGCTAATTATCCTGGACTAACGGACAATAGTCTAGCTAGACCAGCGTGTTTATAAGACTTGTAAGATAATATGAGGAAGGAAAATATCTCTCCTGTATGAAAAAGATCACCATCGTGGAAGTCAGATACACAGACCACTAAGCTATCGCTTCACTTGTAGTAGACGTAGTTTCTCAATATAAAGACAGACGAAATATTATGTATCGGGGGTGACGTCACTTGACCTCGATGTTTGAAAGATTCGCTAGTCTACCTAGACGCTTGTGACTAACAGTGCTACCGACCGATAAGAAGCTACTTGGGTCCTTGTCCGCATACCCCCCAATGTTGTTATGGTTACGCCCATTCGAACACCTTGAATTCTTTCAAACTTAACCTGTCTTTCCAGTGGTCTTTTCTGTATTTCTGAAATCTCGTTAAAAAACTAGAGAAGATATAGTTAGAGTGCCTCGAACATCTCATTTCACGCTCTTCAAAGAGTGTGGATACACTTGTCATGTTTTAAATAGCTGAACAAATAACATGAGACACAAATATGTTTTAAAAGAGATCGAATGTCATTTTTCTGTATACCCCTTCATCGAGCCCTTCATTGAACGACTACAGATATAATTTTAAACCATCCATCCTTCTCAAAGTGGTCCAGATTTTTTTAAAGAAAAAATAAAATAACACCCGTCGATCGACCACAAAAATTATATTACACAAACTGTATTGTGACTAGTTTCGGCTCAAACAGCCATCTTCAGACACATCAGTACACAGTACCTATAAGAGCAGTGGAGTCATTTGGCCAAAATTCAGTCCGGTAAAGGAATACTTAAATTTCCGAACCGACTAAACAGCCAAAACAGTTTCATCTTCAAACGAAATTGCTAGGGCCGGGTCCGCGGAGCCGTTTCTGGGACCGGAGCCTGTACTAGGTATAGCAAGGAGCCAAACTACGTCAGCCCTTGACGAATGGGCAGACAAGGCACTAGGAGAATACTGGAGGCATGTCACTGGTTGCAGGAGGGCCAAGGAGTTCGTGGCCGGTCCGAGCAGATGAAGGAGGGACTGGCTGCTTGGCAGAGACCGCCTTGTACTCCGCCTCCTCATAGGAGTACTCACAGGACACGACAGGCTCGGCAGACACCTTACGCTTATGGGAATAGAGGGCAACCCCACTTGCCGCAGATGTGGGGAAGACGAAGAAACGTTATTCAATTTTCTCGGCGTGTGCGAGGCGTACGGGAGGCTGACATTTGAAATCTTTGGAGTCGACAAACTCCAACAGGAGGAGTTGATCATATCAGAGTGGTCGGACATACTGGCCTTCATTAGAAGGTCAGGGAGATTCGTAAAGGAAATCTAGGTGAAGGAAGCGTAGATGGAGAGTAGGGGTTAGCAAAACTACTCCATCTTCGAATTGAAGATGAAACTCCTTTGAGTGATTTGAATGAATACAATTTTCCCAAGTTTGCGCCTATGTTGAACCTGATGATAGTTGGGTTCTTTTGGCTGTTTGGTCGGTTCAAAAATTTAAGTATTCCTAGACCGGACTGATTTTTGGCCAAATGAGTCCACGGCTCTTTAATTTTATTTTTATTTTATAATGTGATTTCCACATGACCTTATAGGAACTGTGTACTGATTTGCCTGAAGCACGCTGGTTGAGCCGAAACTAGTATCAATACATTTTGTGTAATATAATTTTTGTGGTCGACCGACTTGGAGATATTTTGTTTTTTCTTTGAGACACATTATTATTTGAAACTCTAACATTGGCGTAACACCAAAGGCCCATAAGTGTACATTGTATAGTTATATCAATATTATGCCAATGAATGTATTTCCATAAAATGGATATTCGAATTTGAAGCTTCAAGGAACACTTGAAATACCGCCTCTTCTTTGGGCAGCTCGAATAAATACGTAACCTACAAGATACAGTGTGGCGCACTTCTTATGGAAACACCCCTGTATCTTACGTAATCGTAGGGTAAGGATTCTGAAATTTGCTGGAGCGAGAGATATACCAAAAATGCACTCTATGACCAAGTTGGGTCATCTTCAGTGATATACACTGCTTGCCAACAGCCATGGAACCATCTCAATTTCCGGAAAATGATATTAGGAGTCAAAATAGGTCGAAAATCACTTCAGATTCGGAATCAGGACGCCCAATTCACCAAAAACTCATATTTTTTCTGGAAAATTTTCAGTTCTAAAAAATTAAATTTTGTCGCACTTTTTACAGAAGCGCCGCCGTATCTTACGTATTTGACTTTATCTTTGGACTTTTCCTTCCTCCTGCAAATTTCAGTACCCTACTTCAATGATTACGTGAGATACATGGGTGCTTCCATGAGAAGTGAGACAGAATCTGATTTTTCTGGACTGAAAATTTTCTAGGAAAACTTTGAATAGTTAGAGAATTGGGCGTCCTGATTCCGAATCCTTGTGATTTTCAACCTATTTTGACTCCTAATATCATTTTCCGGAAATTGGGGTGGTTCCATGGCTTTTGGCGAGCGAAAACATTTTTGCGGAGACGTCTATTCAATTTTCAGAACTGACGTTCCAAATCTGAGAATTATAACTATTCGAAAATGTCAGTGGTGACAATAAGGGTGTCCACATTCTTCAAAGGGCGTAACATGTGATGTTTGAGGCACTCTAGGTATAGTCTACAACACGTCTGGAATGGCTTATTCTAACTTGTAGTCAACCTCTTTGCCCTATATCTCTATTCTATTACCCATATATTTATAAGGACTCAAAATAAAGGAGTCCTGCTATAAAAAACAACTCACTTTGGTAAAATCAATTGAATATATTTCTATGTAGTAATAAGTAGGCACTTACCATGTATCCATAAATATTTTTATCTTCATAAATTGTTCCTTGCAAGGTGAATCTGACTATTTCTAATATAGGCAAAAATATCGTCAAACATATTTGCACATAATACAACTTTGATCTCGACAGATGATTAGGTGCCGCTTCAGTTCCATATTTGCGATAAATATATAGCTGGATGGAACCAGCTATGAGAATGAATCCTGCTATAACTGAAGATGTAAGGCTATCCATGAAGCATTGCGACGTTCCATGGTTGACCCACACATCCCAAATGGATACATTAGGTGGGCAGTAAGATATATTGAGGACCATGATCTTCTGAAAATCAAAATATTTAGATTACTAATAGGATGAATAAATGCAATCTAGGATTTTTTTCGCTTGGAGCGCAGGAAAGGAAATCCCTATTATGGTAGTAGAACATCGTGCGTACCTAGGGAGGATAGGGAAAGGAGGTAGGTATTGATATTTATTCATTACACTTCTTGGAAATCAACTTGTTTTCATCTATATTAGTGATATTCAGTGGCATAACTTCATATTTTGGCCCCCCCCGCCAAAATCATTTAGGGCCCCCTCGAGACAAACCTTTCCAGTCAGAAGTCCCTTCTTGCCATGAACTATTAGTTATATTGGATAACCAGCAAGCTTCACAAAACGCTTTATTTTCTTTGGGTGAATAACACAACCATTTTCTTGGAATAATTTGCCCAGCATGACTTTTCTGTGAATAATAGAAATTGAAGAAACTCCTCTTACGCCATTACGAACAATAAACATTTTAATCGTGTTGCTCGATTCTCGGCAACTGAAATTGCCTTTATCCCAAGGAAATGATTCTTTAATTAATATATCCAGTAATGAATCATCTGACTCAGTTCCATCTCCAGGAGTTCTCGAGTTCTCGTATGCAGGTCAGGTATGGGCTCCTCGTGGATTTCAGATATAATATTTTTTTTATATTAACACCATCTGTACCTACAGTTTCGAATGCAGTAGTAGCAGAAGTCTCATCATTTGCTATTTTTTCTATATACCTTTATTTCTCTTCTCCAAACTTTTTTCAATACAAATTGTCACTGACAAGCTAGTGAATTTTACTTTTAGGCTCTCTGATAGGAAAATTCTTTAAATGCAGTGTCATTCTGGGGCAAATCATCTGATTTGTCCTTACTACACGTATATTATTGAAATACTATTCATACTTTTATTTTATTGAAACGAGGAGAGAAAATCCCAAAAAATCTGGAATCCATCCATCCATTCCTGTTTCAATCATCATACTGCTATAAAATTATCCGAAACAGTAATAGTATTCGTAAGGAACGTGATAATCTTGGAAATTTTATACTTCTCATCTTCTATCTCTTGTTTCCTTCTTCATTTTGAAGCACTACTAGTTTTATTCAAGTTCTCCAATTCTCCATTTGAAATAATTGGCAATCATACATGCCAAACACTGTATTGTCAGCATTGTTTATTCATTGTCAATCAAATTTATGCCGACAAAATGAAATTCCCGATAGTATACTATAGCAAGCGGCACAAGCGACCGCGAATTTATTACCAGTAAAATCCAGGTCTAGTAGTTCCAAGTTTATTTTGTGTCTTTTTTTTGTAATAGTTATTATACTTCCTCAGACGATGAATTCCAGAGTTTATCCGTTCTTCAGACAAACGAGTTTTGATAAAGTGCTGCTCGACATATTTTGAGGTTGACAACGAAAGGACTGACTGGTATTGCTAGTCGTGGAATGATAGCAGATATTTCCGAAGAAAATTTCCCGTGGAAGTATCCATAGAAAAGTGAAAAGTCGCCGACCTTTCAACGGTGTTTCAATGATGTCAAAGAGTTAGTGAGTGTGGAATCACCTACCATGCAGGCGAATGGCTCTTCTCTGGATGAAATCTAAGAGCATCAGCATATGTTTGGGTGCTGAACCCCATATGTGAATCCTAGAACAGGCCGCATCTGTGCTTTGTAGATCATGAGAAGCTGTCGAGGTGTAAAGAAGCTTTTCGCACGGAACAAAAATCCGAGTTTTTGTGAAGCTGCTTTCGCAATGGATCTGACATGATTATTGTTGGTTATTTACTGAGAAAAGTGGAATATTATAAATCAGTGAAAGAACGTATATTGACAATTGTATAAGTTACAATGACATTACCTACTCACATAAACAATAATACATCATGTATAGAGTGAACTGACGTTGCTTCATATTCAACGTTTCTACACTGTGAGACCGTTCCCAGACATTGTTGAGGGTGAAGAAAATGAGAGGGGTAGTTATTGTCAATATAGGAAACAGTTGGCAGGTGATAGGTTTTCAAACTTAAGTATGTACGTGGGATTATATAATACATACAGTATGATGCAAATGTATGGAATAAATTCATCTCAAACCAAGACGACTTTCGAAAAAAAACCAAAAACTAGAGTTTAGAACTTTTTTTCGACGTATTTTTTTAACTAGACGACCCTTCAATGTTCTTTTCTCAGTAGTAGACCTCTGCAAGATTCAATTAATCACATGATCATCCATTTCAATTTCAATCTTCTTATGCAACATTTTGACTGTTGTATAGACGATCGGTAGACCTTTCAATCAAGGTGTCACATGGCCCCTATTTGTATTTGAAAAAATCGTCCATTACGTCTTTACTCCAACACCGGTGACGTAACATCTCTCATATGAATATCATGAGATGAGGCTTCAGAAATTAAAACTCCGTGTTTTTGGAATTTTTTCAAATGTCGCCCATTTCTGAAATAATGAATTTATTCCATACATTTGCATCATACTATATATTAAAACAATGATACTCTGAATACAATTATTTATTTACAATTGGTACCAACATTTTCGACGAGGACGCCCCCTTTTGTAATCTTGCGCCCTTAGGCACTAGGTTTGTTACCTAACCGTGAAAGGTGCACTAACTGCGCAGTCAATGTCTGTCATGGTTCACATGTTGATCCTAATCCTAAATCACTATACTTATTCATAATTCTATTATATTTTTTTCAAATTCTACTTATTCCACAGCGGTTTTAGAGGGTCATGAAATTTGATTATTTATTGAAGAAGTCCGAAACGGGTGTTCTCAGACCCATGTTATCATGTATCAAGAAATTCGTCTTTCTCAGCTCTATCAAAAAATGAAATGGAATACAGGGCGTTCCATTTGAAAATTTTGAGAAAATGATCGGTTTGCAAATCGGTGGTCCGACTTCAAAGTCGGGATCCTAAGAATTGAGTCAGGATTCGAAAAAAAAAGTATATGTGGCCCTTCAGCGACTTCGTTGTGATCCCGACTTTAAAGTCGGACCCCCGACTTCAATCTCGGGATCCCGAGAATGTCTGGCGGCACTCTTCCCTGGGAATCTAAGGTGGAGTTTGCTCTGCAAAGATGTTTGCTTTCTCTGACGATGTTGTTGTTGATCTGCCATTGGCTTTGGAGAGTGGTGGGAATGAACTATTAGTGAGATTCCTCCCGACTGCTTTAGCGAGGGACCAAAACGAACGGAAGCCATTGGGACAATCTATGATTTTTCATCTTATTTTGGCATTGTATGATTATTTTTATGCATCTCTTGTTTGGCTGCAGTTATTGCTGGCTTCAACGTTTTCTGCTCTAGTCGCGAGGTTAGGATTCTTGCGCCAGCGATGGTACAGTTTTGTTGCACCAGGGTACCATGTACATATCCATTCCAAGCGTGATGAGTCTATGCTCCGTTCGAAATTGTTGAATTTCAGAGCTCATTTCAAACGAACCTTCAGGGCCGCCATTTGGCGATACGTCGAATAAATTGTGACGTCAGTTTTTACGCTGTTTCGTTATTGGTCAGATAATCTTCCATTTCCACTCATGAAGCAAGGTTGTCAATTCACCAACTATAATCTAGTTAGCAAAAAGATGTTCCTGTCGTTGAATAGAACATAATAGGAGGAACCCATGATGGTTTAGTTCAAACTTGACTTTTTCGAGCAACCAGCATGTCCAACTGTTTTTCATTCTCCATTACAAAATATCATGTTAATGTTGGAGATTTGGCAACATTGTGCTGAATGCTGAGAACTGACAAGACCACGCCCACAAGTCGTGCGGTGTGGTTGTCACGTCCACCGATTCAAATGTCCTCTAGTGTGAATTAATATAATTATTATTTACACAAATTTATTATAAGCAATAAGCCACAAATCATAAGGAAACATTTTGAGATAATTGAATTTTTATTGGTAAAGAGGAATATTACCAATAATCAATTGAGAATTTATGAATTATTGAATAACTAATATTTCTGAAGTTCCCAATCGTATTTCAACACATGGCAACTGTGCTATGGTCTGCCCCTACTTACAGAATCGTTGCGTCAGTTTTTACTGGCGGTAAATTTCTAGCCGTTTGAAAATTACCGTGGCATTATTGATGATATTAGCACCTAAAAATCGACCAAAAAATTCTTTAAAAATATGAAATTGAAAGATATTTGAGTGATGATTATATTTAAGAAATAAAAACCAATTAGTCCACTCGCTTATTGCCAAGTGGAGCAAGTGCATACAGAGAAGTGCACAAAAGTCGGCCAGGATTGTAACTTTTGAATTATTCTAGATAAGGTTTTGAGAATTGGTGGGTAGCAAGTATACCAAATTGCTCATTAATTGATGAAACAATTCTTCTTCTATCACTTACAGTTTCACTGGAAACGACCCCAACTTTTGATTTTGACATGGAACACCCTGTATTGTATTCCATAATCGATTAGGGATTATCATGATGAATTCAACGATACCCGGTTTGATAGGGCTATTTCAAACAATTACAAAGATATTTGCGTTCGAAGTTTCCATATGCTCAATGGGTGTGACTTCGCAATATCAAAACTTCTTTCTCTGTCACACTCATTAAGCATATGGAAACAAAGAACGCGCATATCTGCGTAATCTTTTGAAATAACCCTATCAAACCCGGTATTGAAGAATTCGTTATGAGAATCCCTAACCGATTATGGACACAAAAAAAATTATTTCATAATTCGATAGAACTCACCAAAACTAGCTCATCACCGCAAACCGTTTCTTGCTGTGAGCTCGATTCGTTTTATAAAAATACAAGACTATTCCAGACAGAGATGTATGATACATGATTTCTGACAAGAGTGAATTAGCGCGAGATCACAGTTGAAACTGGTTGAAAGAATTAATATATCAGTTGCCTCAGTCTCCGTCGGGCGTTTGGTATTTTCTTTTTACTGTGGCGAGATGAGGTTTCTACGTCATAAGAGGGTCCCTTTTACAGGAGGTACTATTATTTATGTCCAGAAATAAAACATTCCAGTTAATTTTCCGATCGAATTATGTCGTCAATCATCATATTTA